AAGAACAACACATTCTGTTAGCTTAAGTCCAACAGAAGTCAAAGCAATAGGAAGAAAGCATTTGGTAAGAACGTTTGAAGTAGAGGATTTGGGAATGGGAACAATTGCTACTGGTTTCCAACAGTCTGGTATGGAGCAGGTTTTTAAGGAATTGTTCAAAAATGATGTGAATATTTCACTGACAGAATAGCCCCCATATCTCAGAAAGGAAGATGAAAGACCATCGGGACCAACACTGCACGTGGTTTTCACGGTACGCAGAAGCTCAAAAGTTTCTTCATTCGAGATGGCGTGTACTTGGACGGCATCATCCAGGTATATAAATTTCTCACACTTGACGCCAGACTGTTTGCCAAACCAATCGTAGTACAATGGTCTTAATAAAAAAGAACGTTCCATGATTGGCTTATGGGCTGAATACTGCCAGCTTGCCCAGGCCAAGGCGAGTGAATTTTCTTGAGGAATCCTCAACTGGAGCCTTCGGTTAACCAAAGCCTGACCCACAAAGCAGCGGGGCGGTATGTGAAAACCGCAATCCATTGGGGGCCGGTGTCCAGTTCATCGGATCATGCACCCTTTGTACGGGTCAAACGTTCAAGGTGCCCAATCAAGCCGTTGACCACTACCACAACCGAAAAGGGGTGTGGTTCGTACGTCTCTTCTTAGTTGGTTTGGAATCAGGGTTTTTGGCCAGCTTCTCTGAGTGAACTAACAGTGGTNTGGGAAATCACCTCCACCGTGAGAAAGCAGTGAGTAGGGCTTCCTCAGCAGAGGCTATTTGAGATGCTTGATCGTGTGGGAGCATTTCACGAGATATAAAGGAAGCCGCAACCCAATACAGCCATCCCTCATCATCCTGAAGCTTTCAGAACAAATGGCGTGATGGCATCGCTTGATAAGTGAATAAATGCTGCATTAACACTGTCCAAATCCGTTGTAACGTCCGGAGTTTTGGATTTGATCTAACACAGTAATTCGATACCTAGCCAAATTCACTTACTATTGTTACATTGCAGAAGCTGAAAGGCATAGAACACAGAGGCGTTTGACTTTGATCGAGTTGGTGTGATACTTGACAGCCGCTGAGCCTCTAGATTCGTACGATCGTTCCTTCTGTCTTCCTAATGGTTTCAACAATGGGGATGCTGTTCTGCTATTACAGACAAATGGCGTTTCAAAATGGCAGCATAGGTTAACCATGTGGTTGAGCGTTTCAGTGAATAAGTTGACTGTGTTGTGTTAAGAAGGTTAGGAAGGTTCATGTCGATCAGTTACGCAATACCAGCCACACCAAGTGGTAATCAAAGAATGCGATTACACTTCGCAGGAACTCTTTTTCGCTAATTCATTTTAAGCCTGTAGCGAAGTATATCTTCTCATCAAGTAATACATCCTTTCGGTCTTTGTTCATTGTACATGTCTTTGATTATAACAGAGTTCTTACCGATATTTTACGCATAGTTGTTTTTCATCACTGATGATAAATCGTTGAAGAATCTTTTCGAGATGTTTCACATATTTAACATGTTCGGTAAAATCTGGTGCTGCTATCTTTTCTCCGCTTTTGCAGTCATTTGCTCTCAGAAGTATGAATTGGTATTTCAACACCATCTCCCTCAAACTAGTTGAATAGGTTTCCATCAAAATACCTGGAGAATCATTACCATAGCAAAGCGTTGTCGTAATTTGGTCTGTTATGAATGCGAGTGCCAGTGAACGCAACCACGATTGTTACATCCTTGAATTCTTCAGCTAACTGTGTTTTCAAGTGTCGGTCACACTTGTACACACTTCCATCACATTCCGTTCTTTCATGCGTCGGTAGCAGGCACTTTTTCCGCCCTTCACCGACTGGTGGAGTCGTCTATGGGCAACACACGGATACAAAAGTGAAGCGTAATGATTTTAAAGACTAGCAAAGAAAATAGTTTATAATTTTCTTGAATCTTAAGTGCTTCGTGTGCTCTTTAACTAAAAAACGACAACTTTGCCACTCATTGTACATTCGGCTCACTGCTTCTACAGGTTACTCCATATCGCTTCACTAAAAATCATGTACCATATTCACTTTTGTGCTGTCATTGCGATTTCAGAAAGGATTGAAGAACGTCCTAGACGAAGCTATCCTCGCCGCTCTGGATCCACCAAAGGAACCATCGTCAAAACGATGCTGCGTGGTTTAACAACCTTGCCCCCGTCCTGTCCTGTCTGTTCTATTATTCGGCCTCGTCCTATCTGTTCGCCTCTAATCGTCCGACCCGCATTGATCTCCCAAAGCGTGGTTGTTCACGAACTCCATGAGCTGTCGGGCAGGCTCGATCGACAGTCTCGTTTCATCAACGGCGGCCGCGAAGTGATTGTGCCACTAATCACTCTCTCAAACAGCGTTCTAACATACCAATAATTTGGTCTCTAGCCAATTATTTGTCGCTCCTGAGACACCTCTTTAGCCCCTTGTTTGTACTTTCATGTGTTTCTTCATTTTCGTCCTCGGGCCTCCCGATTCTCATAATGTGACCTGACGCCCTCGGTTGCGTTCATTTCAAATTCATTACTTCTCCGCATCACCCACCCACCGTTCATGGAGTGGCGTTTGAACATCACGTGATCCGTGATTAGTGTTCCCTTTCCACTTGTGCAAGGTGAAACGCTTTTGGTCTGTGCTTTACGACAACCCAGACCAATCCAAGAATTTTGTACCGTTTTTTCTCGCTTTTTGTCATCGGCCCATGCCTAAGTCCGTGATCTCTCCCTTACCCTCCCGTGTGAACCTGTCTTCTCGGTTTGATTGCAGTCTTATCACATCACCATTTCGCCCCGGTTGACGGTTATCGTGCACATGTCCTTTCTAACGGACCTGAAACTCTCGTTGGGTTTCTTGCCGAATGCACTGATCGCTTGACGTCACTCTCATCAGTCTATCTGTTCACTTTGACCTGTGTACCCATCATATACGTGTACGCATCACCCCTCGCCTGTTGTATTTCAACACAGTCCTTTGGCGTCAAGGATTTTCCGGGATATCCCACAGTCACTATCTTGCTCCTGCCGCTTTCAGTGCTACATGTTTCAGCCTCTCAATCGCGTGTGCGTTCCTGTACGCACCATCTCAAGAATCCAAACAACACTAACACTTGCTTTATTTGACACGAAAATTCGCTTGGCAAAATAAACCTATGGTAAGAATCTTTCCAGTTCACATTTGCATTCTCGATCTCGCTGGTTGTGCATCTTACACATGGAGAAATAACTAACGGAACTGAGAAAAACTCAGTATACTTTTAAAATCGAGATAGGGTGCTTGGCCATGTACCGCACTGTCACCATGATTAGTTTGAAAGGAAGGAGTTTAGTGTGGGGCACTTGACGCAGACTTGCAGCAGTGTTGGTCACTGGTTTTTGTAGTGAGTAGCAGGTATCTTTGTGTGTCTGTCGCTCAGTACAACACAACACTCATCATAAGCTACAAGTAGTGTTCTATGTATTTCATATTTGTGATAAAGCTTTGGGAAGTTTTATGCAAGCTTTCAGTCGAAAGGAAGAATACGAGACGTTAGGCGTGCAAAAATGTAATCCAACTACTAAATGCATTAGAAAGCTCAGAAGGAACACTCTTTGTCCGTCAATGCCCGGATAAGATAGGGTGCCAAGGAGTTTCTGTAAGCAGATATCCGAAGTGGGATGAGTTTCTATTCTAAATATGTGAAGGGGTGAGATTCATATGCACGCAAGTCAGTTTGAAAGGGATGGGTATTATCAGATGAAATTTTGTTAACCAACTTCAAGCGTGCGTCAATGTGACCATCATAAATTTTTGCAGAGCAGATAACGAGACTTAAGGAACACGACTGATAATTGTAAGCCCACGTTTCACCAGCTTGAAGTCAGCCTTCTGCAAACAAGGGGTAATCACAGAGGAGTAGCAAAATGGTATAGGGAGAACAGATAAAAGCTCTTATCATCGACAAATCAGAAATGACGGTTTTCTTCACTGAGAAAAGAGAACTTTCTGCTTGCGAGCATCCGTCTGGTTATGTAAAGACCAGTGAAAGTTAATTCTCAGTGTGACACCTAAGCACTTCATATGGTTGACCTTGCTCATGGGCTTTCTCTGAATGTGCATTAGACGGAAATGGATAACGGTTCAGAGTAACAACAAATTCAAAGTATTATTCTGGATTAGGATTCATCACCGTACGGCGAAATACGGTGAAGCGGACTCCACTGTTCGCTGCAAAACTCGCAATGCATTCAAGTTCGGTAGTAATACGTAAGTTGAACAGGGATTAGATTTACTTTTAGAGAGTGGGAGGAAGGGGAACCTCTATGTTTAGCTCAGAGTACACGATCGAACCTCAAAGTATTCTGACCCGCTAATGAATGCCATTACTGTTGGTTCGCTGCTATATCCTTCAGTGTTTCTAACCGATCAGTTGCAGTCTTTCGGACTCCAACCTAGAAGACGCATACCACCTAATCTAACTAATGACTGTGCTTTTCTTCATGCCTCGTCTCCACGTCGTCTGTTGATCTCCAGCCCGGAACGGCTACAACAAATAAGGCGCGATGTGGTAGACGGTAGCTGGACATAAGCCCTAGCCAGCGAAGCCTACTAATCTGATTTTGATGTGCTAGGGGATTTAGGTCTGACAAACTTCCAAACACACGACGGCTTAGCTCCAGATTACTAACCCGTTCGCTCCATCCCACGTGGACTGACAATCGAAAACTCCTAGTTGATGGGTAGCTTCCACTCGCAAGTTCAAACTGTCACAACCATAAGGCAGAACTGAGCCAACTGTAGCACAATGTGCACGACCTTCAAAAATTCTGTGAAAAGCCGCGTCTGCGCCAAAGGAGTTGCAGTTCTGCGTACGCTGTTCGGGCTTTGGAATTGCAGGTGGTTATCTGTTTTGATGTGCTAAGGTCATTGGTCACAATTACCTAATCAGGAAATGCAATGCACTGGCTAATTCATGGCAGTTCAGTTTCAGAGCGGGAGTAGACGACATCCGGTCTTGCAGTATGCTTACACTTTGAAGATGCAAAGCACATACCGACTGTGGTAACAGTCCTTGTTAGTTTATCAGATGAGCTTTGCGGGCCCTTCATTCGATTACGATTGGACCTGGATAACAGGGATTAAGTAGTGAGAGGGACTAGTTTGTGTTGTACGCTTTCAGTTCTGATTGGTTAGGTATGGAAACGGAAATTGCGATGTATCAGCATGCTTAAAATGTCGCACAGGGGGAGTAGGAGGAGGTAAGTCGCTAAAAGATGGAGTTATGAGTTATAAAATAGCACCTTGAACTAAGCTCGCACTATTGAGCGGCAGTTTACTGTCTTCCCAATTTAACCTACTGATATCTTGAGGAAAAGTAATCGCCAAATCATTCAAGTAGAGAAGTGAGACAACCAAACGACGGCAGCTTATGAAGTGAACAGGGCACTGGATCAGATGCTAAAGAATAATCAGGAAATNAGGAAATGCACGATGCACACGTTTGGCTTTATCGTTCAGAGAATTGCAAAGGAATTGAACTAAGAAAGAAGCGGCGTCCAGTGTTGAGCGCTTATGCTTGTATGCAAACGGATGCGTGTCATCTGGGGAAGGGAGAGATAACCGAAGGCAGCATAGAGCTGACCGCTCTATCACTTTCAAATCAGTGGAAGTGAGAGCCTTTAGCCTGAAAGTTTTGTATTTGGGTTCTGCTTTTCCTCTTTGGATGGGTGTAATCCTCACTGGGTGCTAGCACTCTGGAATGATCGGGAGTTCCAGTAAAAGATTAGCCATACATGTAAAATATGAAATGATAGCTCGGCGTCGTCATGTCTGAACCCTGTTTGGTCAGCACCTTTAGAGAACTGATACATAATTAACCGTGAAATAGCAGACGAATGAGCAACGGAAATTTTACTTTCGTGTTTGACGCAGAATTCCAAGGATGCCGTTTAGAATGTCTTTAGGTTCTGGTTTATTTCACTGACTCAAGCCAAAACGTTGAAGGGCATGTGCGATCGCAAAAGCAGATAATTAGTGAGGTTGAATGTCAGTAGAGTGCCATCGGTTAAAAGCGAGAGTAAAACCTTCAAAGCGAAACAAAAGAAACTTCGCAGCATCAAGATAATTTTCGTGTGATATAGAAAATGGTGAAACTGTCCAACAGTTTACTGTATTATAACTGAATAACTTAGTCGCCAGTAATTCTCAGGGTCACCAAATGGTTCTGACTGCATTGTGTGCCTGTATCGCGCCTTTTATTGAATGCACTGTCATTGAAACAACAGTTTCAAGTGGATAAGTTTTTCCACGAGTGCGCTCCCACTGTCAGCATCACACGGGATTTTGCCACTCAACCTCGTCCACTAAAATCAACATTTCGAAGCAGCTCCAAGAGAGCTGAACAAACGCAGTCTCACCAATAACAAAAGCGTGATACGTTTACTAGAGAAGTTTGAAGTCATTCGGTCACGATTTTCAATGCAGATTAAAAGGTAAAAGCTGTTATACGAATATACGGTTTGATTTTCTTGCCATTTATGTGCTCATTCCCCGGAAACAAATCGCTCTTGCGAGACGAGGCTGACATGTTGGTTCAAGTCTCAACTTTTTCGCATCAAAATATCCCAGGATTAGCCTGAGCGTTCACGAAGTGCTGTGTCTGATCTGGTGAACTGGACAGCTGTTGGAACAGCTGTTTTTCACAACCGCTCATCTAAACCGTGGTACATGAACAACTGTTTTACACGTTTGCATACCCCAAACCACCAGCAACTGACGATGACGATTGGCGCTGTGCCTGTCTTCATTCAGCCTAAGTCAGAATCGGGTGAACTGTTCGGCAGCATGCAGCGTGATTTTGACCTCCACGCTCGCTACGCAGACATACATGTACAAGCGATCCCATGTCAAGCTGAGAGTAGTTCTAGTGCGCCGTCTGAGAGAAGTATAGGCTCGGACACTGATCTGACTGAACTTTTCATTTTCAACACCAAAATTACGCGTTAGCGAGATGCTCGCTTATATCCTACTTGCAGTGTGGGATATTTGTGTACATATTAACGTAAGTGGTTTTATATCGAGTAGAAAATATACGCATATACATTGGGGTAATGAAATGTAAACTGTCTCCAGGGGTTATTACGTTACAGAGCATCATTGGTCGTGTACTTTGATCCATTT